GAGAGAGAGAGAGAGAGAGAGAGAGAGAGAGAGAGAGAGAGAGAGAGAGAGAGAGAGAGAGAGAGGCAGATGGCCTATGCGAGGGCGGATCTGGGGTGCAGCAGTCCATGGTTATTGTCGGTCAGGTTGATTGTGAGTGCCTCCAACAACGGCGACAGGGGCACAGTGAAAAGATGGACGGTACCGGTAGGGGCATATCAGAAATTTTCCCAATGGCTATCCGGTAGGGGCATGACACAAATTTGTTGTGGGTACCGGTAGGGGCACTACAAAAACATGTGAGGCCCAAAAGGCGCCAGGGGTTTATGAAACATTTGACTACTGGTCAGAGGGGCGCGGCAGGGTATTTCGCATGTCGGAGGGGCGCGACGCAAATAAATGGAAAATACAGGGGCACCGGACAAATTTTCCCAAAATAAAAACAAAAAATCAAACTGAAAATATGCCTCTTGGAAGTCAAAACCCCTTTCATCCCCCTTTAAAACCCATGTTTACCCCCCTCCCCGCCCTTTCAAACCCATGTATACTACCTCTACAAGGCACTCTGCCCATGGAACAACATTCAAATATAACGCCCGGATGTTCTATTCAAATATTAACACCCGGGTGCTCTATTCGAATATAACGCTCGGGCATTCTGTTTCGAAGGGGTGTTCTATTTGAGAAAAAGAGAGTAAAAACGAAAATCTGATCTTTTTAGGGTAACTTAAAGTTGAATGTAACGCCTGGGCGTTATTTTCGGGTGAAGAGGGTAGTATTTTGGTCCCACCTTTTGGCACCCCTGTGGGACTTCCAGCTACCTTCTTCACCCGATTACCACGTACCGTCATTTTTGCCGTGTTTGGGGCCATCGTTTTTGCTGTATTTGGGGTATCTTTCAGTCTAGATACAGCAATAATGACTGTACATTGTACATTGTTTTCGGGTGTTTTTTTAATTTCCCCAAGAAATCGTAGCGGCCTTGAGATGTGGTCATTGACCTGACCAGCCCCAGGTTCTGGTCATCTAGTCGCATCTGGATTCGAACGCGGGACTGTATTTCAACAGTTCATGGGTGTACCAGCTGAGCTAGTCCTGTTGGTCTTCTCTTCAGTGTGTGTGTGTGTGTGTGT